CGCTCAGCATTTCTGAAGCTGAAAGAACTAAAGAAAAAAAATTGAAGACTACAACTGAAATACTGAAGGAGCCCTGGTGTGGCGCTTTAGGATAAGCAATGGGTTACTACCCACACAGTAAGCAGGTCAAACCCCTCAGTTGCTCCCTGTGATTCCGAACTGACTAGATAGCACTCAACAACAACATATGCAAAATACTGGAAGCATCAAAAGATGATGGAAGGAATACACAGAGTCACTGCACCAAAAGTGAAATGGTCGATATTCAACCATTTCAAAAGGTGGCATATGAACAAGACTCAAAGTTACTGACGGAAGAAACCCAGGCTACACTGAAGGCACTGGCAGATAAAAAAAAGGCTCTAAGAATTGACAGAATACAAATTAAAATGCTTCAACAAACTGACGTGGCACTGGAGGCACTCACTCATCTATGCCGAGAAATGTGGACAGCAGCTACCTGGCCAACTGATTGGAAGAGATCTACTTTGTGCCCCTTCCAAAGAAAGGTAACACACGGAATGCAGAAATCATGTAACAAAATGATTAACATCACAAGCAAGTAACATTTTGCTGAAGATGATTTAAAAATGGTCACAGCAGTACATAAACAGGGAGCTGTCAGAAATTCAAGTCTGATTCAGAAGAGGATGTGGAACAAGGGATGTTACTGCTGATATTAGATGGATCTTGGCTGAAAGCTGAGAATACCAGAAAGATGTTACCTGTGCTTCATTGACTATGAAAAGGCATTCGACTTTGTGGATCATAACAAACTCTGGCTAACACTGTGAATGAGGAGATTTCCAGAACATTTCATTGTGCTCATGAGGTACCTGTACATAGACCAAGAGGCGGTTGCTCAAACAGAACAAGGGTATACAGAATGGTCTAAAATTAGGAAAGGTGTGTGTCGGATTTGTATCTTTTCACCATATTTACTGAATCTGTAAGCTGAGCAAACAATCCCAGATTATATGAAGAGTGTTTACTGGAAGCGAAGAGGACTTGACATTCTTACTGGTGAAGATCAAAGACTGCAGCCTTCAGTATGGCTTGCACCTCAATGAAGAAAATGATAATCCTCACAAGTGGATCACTAAATAACATCACGATAAATGGAGAAACCACCATTTGCCTGTCGGTGTGTCACACTGTGGTGGCTTGTGTGTTGCTGTGATTCTGGAAGTATGCTACTGTTAAATGAAATACCAGGAGAAACGAATAATTTCTGAATATTTAAAACCTTATGAATAGCAATGGAATGCTGTCAGCATTCTGACTACAGACACATGATGAAGCATACTGACAACTGATGCATGATGAGGAACACCAGAATACTGTCACATATGGTGCCGGAAGATGAGACCCTCAGGTTGGCAGACACCAAAAATAGGACTGGGGAAGAGCTGTCTCCTCAAGGTAGTGTTGACTGTGATGACATGAATGGAGTAAAGCTCTCGGGACCTTCATTTACTGATGGGACACAACTCAAAATGAGGAAAAATCGCTGTAAACATCCATTAATATTTGGAACGTTGAATGTTCAAAGTATGAATCCAGGAAAATTGGAAATTATAAAAAATGAAATGGATTGCATAAACATTGATATCCTAGGCATTAATGAGCTGAAATGGGCTGGCACTGGCCACTTTGATCAGACATGCCATCAAGATGTATTGATAATTACTGGTGATTGGAATGCAAAGGTCGGGACCAAAAAGGAAGGATCAGTAATTGGAAAATATAGCCTTGGTGATAGAGAAGATGCTGGAGATTACATGATAGGATTTTGCAAGGCTAATGACCTCTTCATTATGAATACCTTTTTAAAACACCATAAAAGATAAGTATACACGTAGACCTCACCAGATGGAATACACAGAAATCAAATTGACTACATCTGTGGAAAGTGTCAGTGGAAAAGCTCCATATCATCAGCCAAAACAAGGCCAGGGGCAGACTGTGGACCAGACCATCAATTGCTCACATGCAGATTCAGGCTGAAACTAAATAAAACTGAAACAAATCCAGAAGAGCCCGAACGTGATGTTGAGTACATCCCACCTGAATTTACAGATACTCTGAAGAAAAAATCTGATATATTACACACTAAAGACCAGAAGCGTTATGGGATGACATTAAGAACATCATACAGGACAAAGCAAATACTCATTAAGAAGATAAGAAAGAAGAAAAAGACCGAAAAAGATGTCAGAAAAGATTCTGAAACATTCTCCAGTGTAGAGATGCTGAAACAAATGGAAGTGAGGAAGTCAAAGAGCTAAACAGAAATTTTCAGAGTAGCTTGAGAAGACAAAACTCAAATATAACAAAATGTGCAAAGACCTGGAGTTACAACACCAAGAACAAGCGCAGCATTTCTCAAGCTGAGGGAACTGAAGAAACAATTCAAGCCTCTACTTGTAAGATTAAAGGCTTCTATGGAGTCCTGGTGTGGCACTGTGAGATAATGCGCTGGACTGCCGTCGGTTTTAACCACAAGGTCGGTGGGTCAAGCTCACCAGCTAACTCCCTGGAAACCGTATGTAGGATTGCTATGGGTCGGAACTGACTCGGTAACACTGAACTACAACAATGAACAAAATATAGAATGATGCCAAAGCATTAAAAGAAGATGGAAGGAATACACTCAGTCGTTGTACACAGTTGTTGTATCAAAAAGCAATGGTTGCTGTTCAACCATTTCAAAAGGTAGCTTATGATCAAGAGCCAATGTCCAAGGTGCACTGTTGTTGTTGTTGTTGTTGTTGTTATGTGCCGTGGAGTCATTTCCAACTCATAGCGACCCTGTGCAGGGTTTCTGAGGCTGCAAATCTTTATAGGAGCAGAAAGCCTCATCTTTCTCCCATGGAACAGCTGGTAGTTTCGAACTGCTGACCTTGACATTCGCAGCCCAATTCGTAACCACTATGCTACCAGAGCTCCTTAATGTGCACTGTAGGCATCAGCAAAGAACAAGGCTCTGGGAACGGATGGAATACAAATTGAAATCCTTCAAGAAACTGAGGCAGCACTGGAGGCGCTCACTCATCTATGCCAAGAAATTTGGGAGACAGCTAGCTACCTTGCCAACTGATTAGAAGAAACCCTTATTTGTGCCCATTCCAAAGAGGTGACCAACGGAATGCAGAAATCATCAACAAATTATTAATACCAGATGCAAGTCAAATTTTGCTAAAGATAATTCAAAAACGGCTGTAGCCGTACATTGACAGCGAGCTGCCTGAGGTTCACGTAGGATTCAGATGGGGACGTGGAACAAGGGATATCACTGATGACACAAGATGGGTCTTAGCTAAAAGCAGAGAATACCAGAAAGATGTTTATCTGTGCTTTATTGACTACACAAAGGCTTTCAACTGTGTGGATCCTGACAAGCTATGGACAACATTGCAGAGAATGAGTACTCCGGAACACTTAGTTGTACTCATGAGGAACCTGTGCATAGACCAAGAAGCAGTGGTTCAAACGGAACGAGGGGACACTGAACAGTTTAAAGTTAGGAAAGAGGTGAGCCAGGGATGTATTCTTTTACCATACTTACCCAAGTTGTATGCTGAGCAAATAGTCTAAAAGTTGAATTATATGAAGAAGAACGTGGCATCAGGATTGAAGGAAGACCCTTTAACAGTCTGTGATATGCAGACGATACAACCTTGCTTGTTGAATGCAAAGAGGATTTGAAACACTTACTGATAAAGCTCAAAGACCACAGCCTTCGATATGAATTGCACCTCAATGTAAAGAAAACAAAAATCCTCCCCACTGGACCAATAAATAACATCACGATAAATGGAGAAGAGATTGAAGTTGTCAAAGACTTCATTTTGCTTGGATCCATAATCAACACTCATGGAAGCCGCAGTCAGTAGATCAGAAGACGTACTGCATCAGACAAACCTGTGGTACAAGAGCTCTTTTCAGTGTTCAAAAGCAAAGATGTCAGTTTGAGGAGTAAGCTGCAGCTGACCCATGCCACAGTACTTTCAATAGCCAACCAGGCTGTACCGACGCACAAGCAGAATGGAGAGACTTTCTCTCTCATACTTTGGACATATTATCAGGAGGGACCAGGCCTGGGACAAGGACATCACGGTCTAAAAGTAGAGAGACAGCAAAAAAGAGGACAATTCCTAACAAGATGGACTGGCACAGTGGCAGCAGCAATGATTGTGAGGTTGGCACAGAACTGGGCAGTGTTTAGTTCTGTTGTGCATAAGGTCGTTATGAATCAGTACTGATTTGATGGCACCGAACAATCACAAAATGCAGAAAAGAAAATGTTGCCAAACTTTGCCAAACAAAGTCCAGGTCTTTGTCTCCAGTAAAGTGAGACTTCATCGACCATACTTTGGACATATTATCAGGAGGGACTAATCGCTGGAGAAGGACATCATGGTTAGTAAAGTGGAGGGTCAGCGGAAAAGAGGAAGACCCCCCAATGAGATGGACTGACATTGCTCACATGGCAGCAACAATGGGCTCAAACATAACAACGGTTGTGAGGATGGTGCAAGACTCGGCAGTGTTTCATTCTGCTGTGCATGGACAGGGCTGCTAGGACTTGGAACTGACTCGACGGTACATCATGACAGCTACGAGGTAACAATGCCAGCATGTCAGGTGTGTACGTGAGGCGGGCGAGGGAACATCTGCCAGATGAATGCAGCCTGCGACTGACAGACAGGACTGGGAGCGCTCACGTTCCACACGCCGACTCGCTAGACAGCCACAAGAAGACAATTCCAGTGGTTCACCTGCTGGAACTATAGCTGATGAAGTAGTCTCCCCAATAGTCACTTGGTTTCTAGGAACAGTACTAAGGGAGAGGTCAACTCCACGTGGTCCCGGATCCCACGTGAGTGGAGAGGAAGCGTCACGCTCTCAGAAGCACCGAGGCAGCCGAGGGAGAAGACCCCTGGCTGAGGTGGCATGGGCAGAGCGGCCCAGCCCTCCGTGCCCACTCCCCCCAGTACCTGTGCCGTCTGATTGAGAAGAACGTGAACATTGTAGCCCAGTAGTTTGAAGAGGGTGACCAGGGTGCTATGGTCCACATCGCCTCCCGAGCGGAAGTCCAGGTCTTTGTCTCCAGTGAAGCGTACGTTACTCAGCACCAGGGCCAGCCCTCGAGTCTGTGCCCGCATCTTGTAGGCCTTGTGGAGGACAGACAGACAGACACCAGGATAACAAGATGCCACCTGGGGGCCCCGCTCCGCCGTGGCTCAGGGAGCACTAGTGTGCGGGTCTCACCGTCTGGCAGTGTGTCTGGTAGAACTCGGGCGTGCACACCTTCACCTGCAGGCAGGGCGGGCCATCTCCACTGTCTAGGGAGTGCTCCAGGGTGTCTGTGGGTGACAGGGTTCATGTGCCCAGGTCCACCTCACGGCTGCAGGCCTGGGAGCCAGGGGACAGCTGAGGTGTGAGCCCCAGGAGGGCCAGCCCTGCCTTCTCTCCCCCAGACTCTGTGCACCTGGCTTTTCCCAACTCTAAGTCACTCAAGCGCAGGCACAGGACTCTCCTCTTGTAAGAATACCGCATCTCCACAGGAACACCACCACCCCGTCTACACTGCTCAGAGACCATCTCCACAGGAACACCACCACCC